ATGCAAATAGCGGGACAGATCTTCACTGGACTTGGCTGGTGGGTTTGAACCACCAGCCTTCTGGTTAGCAGTCAAGTGCTTTAGGCACTATGCTACCAGAGCTCCCCAGCATTCATCTAGTATATTTTAAATATATTTTAATTTATGTACAACATTTCAAGAACATATCTGTGGAGAAAATCATGGTACACTTGCATTTTAATATTATAGAAATAATTTCTAGTACTGCATCACATGCAAATAGCGGGACAGATCTTCACTGGACTTGGAGGGGATGTTTAAGATTGGCCTAACCTGAAATACATGTACACTTAAATTTTACTTGTGGGGACCTCACAGATAGTGCACATCCTCCAGAGCAGCAGCAGAGGTTTAGGGAGAGGCTTATGGGACTATCCATCCCAATATACATGTTATACATACGATGATGCCATGGACAGATTATATAAACAATGGTTTAAAAAATGATGTCCAAATTGAAAGTAACAAAGTAAGGAACTCTGTATTGGGAGTTGTTCATCACAGTGATTAATCATTCTCCTGCTCTTACAGTCTGACGCTGGTGAGTCTACAGAATAACATTTGAGGACTGAAATTGAAAATATCCATTAACAATACCAAAGTATTATTAGACAATACTTTGGTAAAATGATAATGTTAGTATCTTTTAATAAGGTTTAATATCACTATGGTTTGTCTAACTTTGGAAGTTTTAATTAAGTCATAAAATTAATATTTTTAATGTTCGGTTTATTTTAGATAGTACATCTTTCTTGCAGAGATATACAAGCATAGAATTTTACACTGAAAATGATGATCTATTCCAATCAGAATCTTTTATTGTTGTATAATTTTCATATTTAAAGGCATGGGAGAAGTTGCTGTTTGGCGTTTGTTTTTTTCATGCCCTTGTGCAAGAGAGAAAGAAATTTGGTCCTCTTGGTTGGAATATTCCATACGGATTTAATGAATCAGACTTACGCATCAGTATCCGACAACTACAGGTAAAATGGGAAAGGGATTAACGTTTATGGAGTATCTCTATATTCCAGGCCTTAGGCAAATCCCTTTGTTCAGTATAGTTTAGTCAGTTCTCCTGACCACCACTATTTGTTGTTGTTGTTGTTGTTATGTGCCGTCGAGTCAGCCCTGACTCATAGCGACCCCTCCTTTGGTTTCCGAGGCAGTATCATCACTACAGAAGTAGGATTGCCCAACCTTCCTTCCGAGGAGTGGCTGGTGGGTTTGAACCGCCAGCCTTCTGGTGAGCAGTCAAGTGCCTTAGCCACTATGCTACCAGAGCTCCCTATTAGGTGGGTATATCACAGTTATATTTATAACTATGGTTTATGAGTACTATCTCCATCCTTTCTGCTGCAAATAATGGACAGCCTGATTCACCCTGGCTTAAACCATAATGAAACATTATTTCACATTAAAGAGAGATGCAGATAAAGGCTCTAGGGCTGGTTGATTCAGCAACACAGCAGGTTTTTCATGAAGGACCCTTGTTCTTCTGTCAGTGTTAGCTGTATATGCATCCTTTAATTCTCTATTCTCCTATACTAAGTCAACTGTATAATTTAGCTCCATCAATCCAGAGAAATAGGCTGTCTAATTTAAGCAGAAAAGGATTTTATTGAAAGAATATCAGGTAGCTCACAGAATCACCAAGACAGCTGGAGAGCCAGGCTCAGAGGTGAGGCATCCAAAGTCAATCTAGAATCATACCCTTGTTCAGTATTAGACACTATAGCTTACATAGTAGCTACCACACAATACCTGGGCCCTCTAATACCATTCCCACACCTAAAAAGACTCTTTACTGGTTTTGCTTCTTTGCACCCTAATTCCTAGTTCACAGTCTAGAATGAATGAATCTGAGTAGCCAAGCTTAGCTCGCAGGTCTAGGCTTTAGCTGTAGGGGAGAGGCTGGGAAAGTGAGTAGCAGACTTTTCCAACTTCTGTAGACTAATAGTGGGAGACATTCAAGTGATCAGCAACCCTCCTCCCCGACACCCACCTCACCCCCAAAAAAAGAAGTACCAACAATGGAGTACAGTTGTACTCTGCACAGGTTGCCAATAACAGCAACAAATAAATTCATACTAACTCACATGGTGAACTAGGTATATTATCTGTGTTACTTGTAATCCTCATAGCAACTCTGTCAGGTTGGTAGTATCCCATTTTTTGAGTATACGAAAGCTCAGAAGTGAACTTGCCCTTGAGCTAGGATTTGAATTTGTATCTTTCCAACTTCAATATGTTTCCATTACTTCGTCCTATTTTATTACATATATTAATCCAACTAGACAATCATAGAATATTTATTTTTTTCTGCTTCTTTGTTGTGATGAAGTGTCTTGATTGACATGAGGCCTTAAAAGGGAAAAGGGAAGTGTTGATAAAGCCCAATTAGGTGCTGTTAGATTTCAGTCAAGTGAGTTTTTATAAGGCCATGAATATGTAATCATGCTTATACCAAACTTTAGGAGTCCCTGAGTGGCTCACACAATTAACCACTCGACTCCTAGCTGAATGGTTGGTGGTTCTAACCCACCAGAAGTGCCTCAGAAGTTAGGCCTGGTGAACTGCTTCCAAAAGGTTACAGCCTTGAAAACCCTATGGATTACTGTTGTTGTTGTTGTTATGTGCCGTTGAGTCAAACCCGACTCATAGCGACCCTTCCTTGGGTTTCCGAGGCAGTATCACTACGGTAGTAGGATTGCCCAACCTTCCTTCCGAGGAGTGGCTGGTGGGTTTGAACCGCCAGCCGTCTGGTTAGCAGGCAAGTGTCTTAGCCACTATGCTACCCGAAAGTAGAGAAATCCCCAAGACTATTGCTCTAAACCAAAACCAAAACCAAACTCACTGCCATCAAGTTGGATCTGACTCTAGGTCTTGGGTTTCCAAGGCGGTATCATTACGGAAGTAGATCGCCCAAGCTTCCTTCGGAGGAGTGGCTAGTGGGTTTGAACCAACAACCTTACTGATTAGCAGTTAAATGCCTTAGGCACTACACTACCAGAGCTCTCTATTGCCCTAAGGTACTCTTTAAATCTAAACAGAACTATCCCTGAGGTCACTTTTAAGCTAAATAGCAGTTTAGCACAAAAACTAAAGAATGTCACCTTTGAATACTGCGTTCTTTAAAAAAAAAAAAGTATCTATGTGCAACCAAATCAATAATAGTACTCTAAAGCATAGATGAGAAGTTTGTTTGGTTGGGTGGAGGGCAGTGAGACTATGTTAGTGAGTGTAAAAGAACTAGAACTGAAGTAATGAGAATGTTGACACAATGTGAAGAATTTAACCAATGTCACTGAACATTATGTGTAGGATTGTTGAATGGGAGCATATTTTGCTGTGTGTATTTTCATCAAATTGTTGTTGTTGTTCTTAGGTGCCATCGAGTCAGACCAGACTCATAGAGACACCTCCTTGGGTTTCCAAGGCGGTATCACTATGGAAGTAGATTGCCCAACCTTCCTTCTGAGGGTGGCTGGTGGGTTTGAACCACCAACCTTCTGGTTAGCATCAAGTGCCTTAGCCACTATGCTACCAGACCTCCTTCACCAAATATATGATAATTGTTTTTTTTTAAATCCTATGGAGTAGTTTTACTATGCACACAAGGGGTCACCATAAGTCAAAATTAACTCAACATGAACTTACAACAACAATACCAAACTTTAAAATCATAAATCTTAACAGATGATTATTATAGAAATTTTGGACATTTTATCAAGTCTGTTTTTTAAAAGACAGGGCACAAATCTTAACGTAGACAAATCCGTCGGTTTTAAAATCCTTGTAAAAATTATTGAAATTGCTGCTTGTGGAATTGTAGTTACATGATAAAAACTACATTGATTATAAGCATCAGTCTTTGAGACCAATTTAGTTGAGACAACCTAAACTTGAAGAACATTTTGCTAAACTGTCACACTATATGTAACTTGTCAACTGAGAATTCTCCATCTTCAAGCTGGGGCCCAGTTTCATCAACCTACCTAGCCCCAAAAGTGGAGCCTGCAGACATGGATTGAATCCATCTTTCATATCTTCAGGAACTGGAGAGGAGAACTTGAGAGAGGGGTTAGTGCTTAAACCATCTTCACCTGGCCGTACCAGCAGGACACCTCTCTCCAAAGGGACAAATCAGCACACCAATGGCTAAGTGGACAGAAAACCAGAGAATGAGTTGTCACTTTCCACTGCTTGTATACAACACGTATTTAAGAAGAAATCCTCTTAAACTCTTCACTTTGGGGAAGGGAGAGGACCCAGTTGAACATCTCTTTTCCCTCCTCCACAGACAGGATAGGGAGAAACTTTCCTCGTTTCACAAATAGTTCATTCCCCAAAAAGATGGCCTTTCCTATCTCTCAGTCCCCCTCTCATATCTTTTGATATGAGAGGTGCTTTGCCCCTGATAACATGGGAATCTGAAAGAATCAGGTCTTCTTTTAACTTGACTCTGGACAAGTTAGAATCCTTTTTCCTCAATGGTGCACCATTTAGTCTGTAGTTCCTGCATTGTTAAGTAACCTTCAGTGACAGGAGGAACTCACCTTATACTATCCCAGTACGTATGCTATCAGGATTCCTGTATTTGGAGAAAAGTATGGGATCTGGAACTGGAAAAGATCATTTCAGGCCTTGATGTTGCCACTTGGTTCTCTGTGTAAAAAGTTACTTTGTATTCCTACTCTACAGGGTTGTTGAGAGAAAAATAGGACAATGTAACAGCTATATATATGGTAGTTTTTATTGCAATTCTTATTTTGATAATAAGGCAATTAGAAAAGATATGTGTTGTCTACAAGTGGAACTATGTCATAGTATGGAAGTGGCTCTGGTACTATAATTTGGAATTTTAAAATTTATCACATTGTAAAAGATGCCTTAAACCAGGGCTTCTTAGCCTTGCAACTATTAACATTTTGGGCTCTGGTGGCATAGCATCTAAGTCATTTGACTGCTAACCAGAAGGTTGGCAGTTCAAACCCACCAGCCACTGTGCAGAAGGAAGATGGGGTAATCTACGTCTGTAAAGATTTACAAGCTTGAACCCCAAGGGGGGTCTCTATGAGTGGGAATTGACTTGATGGCAGTGAGTTTAGGTTTTTTTTTTTTTTTTTTTTTTTGCTTCATTCTCTGGAGGGCTGACCTATGCATTATAGCAGCATCCCAGACCTTTTCCCACTAGATTTCAGTAGTGTCCTCCTCCAGTTGTAGCGATCTGAGTATCTCTAAACCAAATCTACTGCCTTAGAGTCAATTTCAACTTATAGTGATTCCCATTGGGTTTTCAAGTCTGTAAATCATTATAGAAGTAGATTGCCTCTTCTTCCTCATCCATGGAGCAGATGCTGGGTTTGAACCACCAACCTACTGATTAACCACCAAATGCCTTACCCACTCCACCATCAGAGCTTCTCACATGTTTTTAAACCAAAACCAAACTCACTGCCACCGAATCAATTTGACTCATAGTGACCCCTTCTTGGGTTTCCGAGGCAGTATCTCTATGGAAGTAGATTGCCCAATCTTCCTTCTGAGGAGTGGCTGGTGGGTTTGAACTGCCAGCCTTCTGGTTAGCAGTCACATGCCTTAGGCACTACATTGCCAAATATCGACTATGGGATAAGATTGCCCCACCTGAGAACCACTGTCCTAAATCATGGTTTATTTGAGTTCATTTGAAAAGAACTTGGTAATTTTCATGTCATCATTTCTTATTATGTTGTTTTCCTAGTATAGATGCAAACAAACAAAACAAAAAACTCACTGCCATCTAGTCAATTCCAACTCAGTGCTACCTCCATTAGGTTTCCAAGGGGGGTAAATCTTTACGGAAGTAGATTGCTCAGTCTTCCTTCCATGGAGTGGCTAGTGGATTTGAACTGCTAACCTTCTGGTTAGCCGTCAAATGCCTTAGGCACTATGCCACCAGAGCTCCTTTATTATAGAAGCAATACATATTGATTTCAGAAAACAAAAAAAGGAGATAGAGAAAAGCAAAGTTATTTAAAAATAAAATACCAACAATCACAGCTACCCAAAGACAACCTATGATGATAATATTTTTCAATCCCTCTTCATACTGTTGTTAGTTGCTGTTGAGTCGATTCTGACTCATGGCAACCCTATGTGTTACAGAGTAGAAATACTTCATAGAGTTTGCAATGGCTGATTTTTTAGCAGTAGATGACTAGGACTTTCTTCCAAGGCACCTCCAGGTGGACTCAAACTTCCAACCTCTTGGTTGACAGCCAAATCCATTAAATATTAGCACCACCCAGGGAATGCTTGTATATGCATACATATGTATATACATGCATGCATGCATATAGAGAGAAAAAGAGAAAGGGAGAGAGAGTCGCACATGTGGATATTTAATGTCATCTTAAAATGCAAATGAAGGAAAAGATTGCATTTTGTTTAAAGTTTTCTTATTTTATTTTTCCTTTGTTTCAGTTATTTATAAATGAATATGATACAATTCCATTTGAAGCTATCTCGTACCTGACTGGGGAGTGTAACTATGGAGGAAGAGTGACAGATGATTGGGACAGACGTCTCTTGTTAACCATGCTGGCTGACTTTTATAATCCTCATATAGTTGAAAATCCTCATTATAAATTTTCTCCCAGTGGAAACTATTTTGCACCTCCCAAAGGCACCTATGATGACTATATCGAATTCATTAAGGTAACTGATATCACTGAAAATAGGCTTAGATTTAAGTGTAATTTTTCTAAATGCAAATAGTGAAATGTTCCCCTATAATGTATAGACTTAAGAATTATGGTTTCAGTCATCTTTTAATATGTTTTGTTTCTAATAATTACTGAACACTGAAAAAGTCTGATTCGTATTTTATTTGATGCTTAGTTGGTTTTACCCCATTTTCGGTCTGCATGTGTCCACCTTATGAATTAATGTACTAATTAATTTACTAATGTGTTGCTAGGAGCTCTGGTAGCATAGTGCCTAAGGCACTTGACTGCTAACCAGAAGACTGGCGGTTCAAACCCACCAGTCACTCCTCGGAAGGAAGGTTGGGCAATCGTACTTCTGTAGTGATACTGCCTCGGCAACCCAAGGAGGGGTTGCTATGAGTTGGAACTGACTTGACGGCACATAACAACAATAACAACGACTTCTGTTTTCTGGTAGAAACTTCCATTTGCTCAACACCCTGAGATATTTGGATTGCATGAAAATGTTGATATCTCCAAAGATCTTCAGCAAACAAAAATCCTCTTTGAGTCCTTACTCCTCACTCAGGGGGGTGCCAAACAGACCAGAGCCTCAGGAAGTACTGACCAGATCCTCCTACAAATTACCAAAGATATTCTCAATAAGGTAATGTTTCGCTTAAAATGTGTTGCTTATAACATAGGAATCAAAATGGTACTGAAATGACGATCTGAAAACTCTGTTTACAGTATTATCACTTTGAGCACGATACCTTGCCTATCTGAGTGTTAGTTTCTAAATCGGTAAAGAGGTGAAAATACAGTGAAACCTATGAGAGTCAGAACTCAAGGGGACTGCCTTGTTTTTCTGGGTCATAAAAGTTTATCACTGGGTCTTAACAAGTGTCCCACCAAGTCTTAACAAGTCTTGGAGAGGGTGTAGTCACTACTTTCCTACTGCTTTCTATTTAGTGGGAATATTTGAGTTTTCCTTCTCTGACAGGTTCTGCCTTAACCAGGTTCTGTCTGGCTTTCTCAGGTTTTATGGTAATACCCACTGTATAAGGTTCTTGTGAAGATTAAAGAGGTCATGAATTTAAAGTGCTTTGCATAATGCCTGATATATAGTAAGTTCTTAGTAATTATAGTTGTGGATGAGCTAATGAATGTATGATTTATTATCATTTATAAACAAAAGGTAATGGACCTACCTAAAGAAAGAAAGAACGAAAATGGTCTGAACCTGCTGCTTCAAGGAGAGAATAGTCTTTAATCTGTACTTTAGGAAGTAAGGAGGCACAGAAGATATGATCAATACCAAATTAATTGCTATAGGTTTTTTTTTTCCCCCCATAATACAGCTCACTATGTTGTTGTTGTTGTTATTGGCCATCGAGTCGGCCCCGACTCATAGCGACCCTCCTTGGGTTTCTGAGGCAGTATCACTAC